CTTTAATGCGCGTTCACAGCCATTTGTTCACTTGAAAACTCATTTGTGCGTAGCCCGGCAATTGCGCTGCTCACTCCTAATCAGCTTGCTTTGTGCCACTGAGGGGATGGGTGGGCAACAGCAAGTAGAGTGAGATGAAGGAACTTGTCTGAAGTTGTTGCTTGGCTCTGGCAGAGCTGAGATGGGGAGTTTCTGCTTTCTGTTCTTGTATGTGTCCCGCTAGTTTCTCAGCGAGTCTTTTTATAAAGCCACAGCTGTGCGTGGGACCAGCTGCGGCATCCATTTGCTGTAGGTCAGGAGTCTTTTGTCTGAGAAAAATGCACTGGTCTTATCCCCAGGGTCATAGGCCTGATACCCACTTGCTGAGGTTGCTCGTCCTCCTGGAGAATAGGATAAGGGGTTGAGGAACAAGAAAATCCCCTGCCCTGTGCTGGGATTGTGACAAACGTAGTGAATTTGGTCCCAGTTTTTAGCCATTCTTCCAAGGTGTCTTCTCAAACAGACTTTGGTGTGCCACTGACCGTGCAAGCGCACCTGCAGGGACCGTGGGCAGGATGCAGAGGAAACGCTGGGTCCTTCAGGGGAAAGGTCCAGGAGTAGGAAAATGCATGCGTGTGGGCATACAGAAGCATAGAGAAGTGTTTTAAATGCAAAACTTGGACACACAGTGAGTGGAAAAGCCATGGACAGTGTGGGAAGGCTACATGAGCATGGGAGTGGAATAAGGAGCTGAGAGCACTGAGGAAGAGGAATGGAGAAGAGGGGACTTTTAATGAAACTGGCTTAAAAAAATGTAGCGAGACGTGCTGTGCTTTCTTTGTGGGTAAAAGTACCCACACAGTGTTCCCTGCTCTGCTTTATTCTAGTGACTTTTCAGGATGGGGGAGTCTGCTGGGAGGACCCAAGGTGTGCTAGGAGGGAGGGACAGGCCACAGCAGTCTTCTTTACAGGGCCTGGCATGGAGCTGGACATACTTAAACAGAGCATTCAAACTGGAAAAGCACAAGGATCAAAAGTGTCTGTGACACTCTCACAGTGGCAATACTGAAGCGTCCCTATGATGTTGGTGTGACTACAGATGCCCACTGGAAAAGTATTGCTAAGTCCTCCATGCTGCAAGTTCCTTCTCACGTTCTGGATTTCATCTTTTGTTGCAATGTGAAATGAAAACCAAACCAAATAGTAACGCTGGTGGGACCAGGCAGCCAATGTGCTGCCACTGTTTTTCCGAATTCCTGTGACTTACTGTTGCCATTGCTTATCCTCTTCTGTGGTGTTTTTTTGCTGTTGGAGACAGCAGCTTTTCATTTTGTGCATGGATAGCCCTGACACAACGGGCTCTGGTCTCTCACAGGAGCATGCAGACCATGGACACTTACAAACAAAATCAAAGAGCAGTCAGAGCGTGTTTAAGTGCGTCTGACCCTATGTGGAATTGCAGCAGTGAAATTCAAGCAGAGACCCTGACAGTCTGGGGACACCTTCCTCTGTCCCGGTGCATGGTGCTCCCCTTGCTCCCTGCTCTGTGTGCCCAGGCCCTGTACTTACCTGCTTCTTGAGTTTAGAAACAGCTTAGGGGTATTCCAGGTGGTGTCCTGGGGAGGCTGGAGGGACTCTTAGGTGTTGCTTTTGAAAGGCTGATTTCACCAGGTATTTATGTTCTGTGCAAGCAGGGTATAATCTTTGTAAATATTTGGTTGGTTGATCAGACAAATACATATATAAATATTCATGTATGGCTCAATATCCTGCAGTTGTGCTTGGGTGTTGCTCTCCAATAACTGGGATTAACCTTTTATGGATAAGACAAAGAAACTTGGTTTGCTTTTTCCTCCGTTTCTGCGTTTGCTGGAGTTTATGTGATGAATCCTTTACTGTTCTCACCCTTACCTGAAGAGGCAGTTCTGGGGATATAACTCATGTCTCCCAGCCGCTTGCAGGCTGCTCAGCAAGTGCAATGCACCTTCCCTGCCTCCACCTTGCCTGGTAAATGGCTGACACACATCTGACAGCTTCTTGCTGGAGATCTGTTACTGCCCTCCAGCTCACTCACAGCACCTTGGCCAAGAAGGTGACGTGACTTTGTTTTTTAGCGTTGGTTTGGGACCTTTTTTTGAGGTTAGGAAAGGTGAATTAGAACAATCGGATTTTTTCAGATGGTACGTGAAGCATGAATAAGAAGCACAGTTAAGTGGGAGCATGTCCTTTTCTGAGGAAACACTTTAGTGAATGAATTTCGCACTTGTTTGGTGTTCCTGACAAGTGGTGGGTCTTGCTGAAATCGCTCCCATGAGATCTTCTCTCCTGCCCATCCACAGCCCGTGCCCTTTGGGTCGATACTTCTCTGTCTAACACGCTGGCTGGCAAGGCAAGCTCTCCCCTCAGCAAGGGATGCTCCAACCTCCCAGAGAAGGTCAGGAAACACAGTTTCTATATGATAGTCTGCTACATATAAAAATACTTAAAACAGAGGCTTTTCTTTGGAAAAGTAGTGGAAAAAAAAAAATAAACTGGAAGAAAGATGCAGACAGGCACACTGCTTTGCAGAACAGCCAAGGGTGCCTCTTGGGGACTGTGCTAGGGGCTGTACCAGCACAAGGTGGCCCCGGAACTGTGGGGAGAGCTCATTGCCTATGTACACGTCCACGGAGGAAAAAGGGTTTTAATAAGAAAATCCTGTTTTGACAAGGGCCTGGCAGGGTGCAGAGAGAGAAGTGCAGAGCCCTGAAGCGTGCTGGAAAGGCAGGTGTGTGTCTGACTCCCACCCAGAGCAGGGAGGAAGGGCTGAGTGCATCCCCCTTGCTCAGCCTGGAGGTGTTACTTCTGTTTCTCTCGTCCCCCTGCTTGCTCGGGTGAGCTCCAAACTCAGTGCAAGTCTCAATTTCACTACCCTTTCCCTGCTGCTTTGTTGCTCCCAGGCTGTAGAAGGTGAACACAGCCCAGTGATGAGGAGGAGAGAAAGGCATCACATCTCTGTTATTTATGGGAATGCTCATTTGGCTGGTAAAACACTGGTGGGATTACATGTTAGAGAGGAAAGATGTGCTTGCTACTCAGTGAGTACATTGCCCCACTAACTGCCACGGGACAGTCTTCTGTTTTAGCACTTTTATAATCTCTCGTTAAGCCTTGAGACCAGGAGTCAGTGTGTCTTACTCCCTATTTAAGCTTCACTTTATCCACAGCACTGTTATGTTACAGAGCCAGATCTTCACTGGGTTTAATATAGACTGGAGAGAATTATTTGGCAAAAAAGAAGCCTCTCTGAAAAAAGTCACCAAAAAAAAGACATATAGAGGCAGAATTAATTAACAGGAAAATATGAGAGCAATTAAACTGGGCCAGAATAAAGTGTCCATCTAGCCCAGTATTCTTTCTCCATCCACATTAAGGTAGAAAAAAGTAAGACGACAGCAATATGATGTGTCCCAGCTCTCCCAGCTGCTAGCTATTTTCAGCTTAGGAAATTTTCTGAGTCAGACATGGTTCAATGCACTTAGAAATTCTCAGTGGATTTCTCTTTCATGTACTTGACCAGACTCCCCTTGAGTTCATGTACGTTTTTAGCATCATAGTGTCCTGTGGAAAGGATTTCCCCAGACCTGTTGCCTGAAGAAGTCCCTTCTTTCCTTTGTTTTGAACTTGGTTCCTGCTAGCTTGGGTTGATACCTTCCTGAGACTCGGTATGGAACGAGCTGGTAAAGAACTGACCCTGTCCTTCTTTCCTGCCACTTTTGATTTCGTGGACCTCAAGCATACCCCTCCTAAGCTGTCTCTCTCACAGTCTAAAGAGTCTTTGATCTTCTTTGTTGCCTTTCTCTAAGCCATTCCCACTGCTAGTAAGTGCTTGTTGCAATGAGAGGAGCACAAAAGCATGCGCAAACTACAGCTTGAACATTGGAGGGCTAAATGGGAAAAATGACATGAAACCTCTTCTTGTGCTTCTTTCTAAATTTTTTTGCCCTTAAATGATTTTCTGATTCTTGTGCGTGGAAGGGAAATATTCCTGGGTTTACTGGTGGCTCAGGTTTGCTGTTCATGTTCTTGCCCGTGATTTCTCCCCTCTCTGTGGCTGTCAGCTGCATGCCCAGCTCTCCAACAGAGGCTGAACTAGAGCTGAAGGGGAAAGTGGTTGCACTGTCAAACAGCCCATCTCTGCATTACACTTGTATCAAAAAGCTCAAGTAGACGTCTCACACAAACTAGTTTCCCATGGAGGAGAAATGAATCCTAGATAAATCTAGGTCCCCACAATTGCCTAAGTTCAGTGTGTCCTCTAGAACGAGAAGTCCCTTTTTGAAGAGCAGGACCTGAGCCAGATTGACCTCTGTGGCATGCCATGTGCAGTGGCACTCCCCATCCTCACCTGGCGGTACCTGCTGACAAAAGCAGCTCTTCCATTTGTCTCTTGGGGCCATAGGCAAGCATCTCACTCCTTCATTCCTTCACTTGCCTCTAGCACTGAGAAAAACAAGGCAAGACATCTATTTGCTTTGCTTTCATTTACAAGGGACCTGATGGGACCCTGCTCCCATCCACAGGGGCTCACAAACAGTGGGGTCAGTTCAGCTGGAGGGGTGGTAGTTGTCTTGTGGGGTGCAGAAAGGAGAGCAGGCTGGTGAATAGGCTGTTATGGCCAAACGATGAATTTCTGTAGCTGTCAGTCCCTACAAGCCTGTGATTAAACTGGCGTCTCAAGCCGTGTATGGACACAGCCTCAGTCAGCCATTTAGCTGTGTCAGGAGATGAGGATGGCCATGCTGAAAGCTGTGTGTGTGACGAAGCGTGAGGGATCACCTTGAGACATGGTTTCATCTTTTGGGTGCTTTGAACTCCATTCTGCCTGATGAGCTGCGGTGGCGGTCGGCTGCCCACGGTCCAGAGCAAGAATGGGGGAGCCAGTTCCATGCTCGTGTGAGGTGGTGGGGTGAGGGGTGAGATGCTGCCCCTCCCGTGTAGATCTTTGCAGCTGACCTAGGCTTGCCCCGCAGCCAGAGGAGATGAACCAGAGTGTCTGGGGTACAACTGAGCTCCTTGTAGTATGCATCTCCTGCATGGTGAGATGAGCTGCAACTTAAACCCCATTGATTGCATTGGCAAGATCGTCACCAAGTGTAGGGGAAGCCAGGGAGAGTTGCTCAGTCTGACGTTTAGACTGTGGGTGTCTGCACGTAACTCCACCTCCACACCTCCTTCTGCCTTGTTGCCCCGTCTGTACAACGGAGATGATACTGCCTTCTTTGCAAGGTAGCTGTGGGACTGACCCAGGACCTGTATGGACCACTGAAGAACTGTAAGTTTCAAAGTAGTTTACTATTACTCTGTCTGGAGACTGGAACTGGGGGAATGGGTTAGGATTTTAGGTATTTAGCAGAAGATGTGCTGTGAGAATTTTAGAGTACAGTTGAGATTCCTTATTTGCGCTTTGCTAAGAGGCATCGAGATTCCCAACCATTCAGTAAGCTTCCAGTAAAAGCCCATGCATTCTAAATTTCTCATGTAAAAGTATTTAAGGTTCAGTGGGAGTGCAGCTTGCAGGGAGGATGTGTTGGATGCCTGTTAAGAGAAACAGATGAAGGCAATTGCTTTCTAAGGGTTAAGTATGACCCATAAGCCAAGGCCTGCAGGGTTAGCAAGTGGCCAGCCAGCAGCTGGGATAGCGCAGTGATGGACATGCGGATAACAAATGCCCTGTCCTTCCATCCCTCCAAAGAGACCTGTGCTCAGTGAAGGTTTCTAACGCTGAATCAGTAACAGCACTGATTTTAAAGTGCTCTGAGTTACAGCTTGTGCACGCTAAATGTTAATGGAGATGTCTTGGGAGGTAGACTTCAGAGAAAACGGGGTTTTCTCTGTTGTTTGGGGCTTGCTTATCCTCTCTACATCACCTGCAGCAGTGTGCTAACGCATAGGCGAAGTGGGCTGTGACCTCAATCAGCTAGTTAATTTTAAGCCCGTGCTTAAGTGATTTGCTAAAACTGAGCTTATTCAGAGAAGGAAAGCAGACTGTATTTTCATTGCTCAAGCTAGGTGAATTACAACATGTAAGTGATTTTAATGATGAAAGGGTAAATTATGCTTTGAAACAATTATTTAAATTTCCGTAAAGAATATTAGTAGCAGTCAGGATGTCAGATGGTAGATAGTCATGTTTATACTTCGATAATAGCCCCTTCAAAGTTACTTGAAACACTCTATTGTGCATTTACATTTTTATCTCTGTATTTTTAAGATGAGAGGAGCTCATTAAACCAAACTATTTTTTTGGCTTGTGTCAATAGAAAATGTTCTTTTAAATGTTCAGAAGGAATTAGTTACAGAAGCGTGGGAAAGATAGGGAAGAGATTGTTTTCCTTTCGTGTTCAGTATATTCTTCGTCCTTTGCTTTTTGATGACTAAACTGTTCTGTATTTGCAATTGAAAACTGTTGATTGGAAACTCTTGAAAGAGTAACACAAATGGGGCTTGATTTTGAAAAATGCATTCATGATTGTTTGCCTAATTTGTGCGTGCAATTAGCGTGATTGCCACTGGAAATGGCCATCTGAGAACAGACTTTGGAGATCTCTTTCTTTTTCTTATCTGTTTCCTCTCTCCTCTTCTTAAGGTGCCAGCTTCTATGATGCCTAAATATTACCTATGGAAGTTTAATTTGGTAATACGTTTATTGATCTCCTTTCATCTCTTACCTCTCCACTTTTGATGTTTGTTAAAAGCCTGAGGATGATTATTCCCTTCTGCTTCCTTCTCCAGTCCACTTGATGCAACATTAAGAGAGGTTCTTTCATCTAAGTGGTTGATCTTGCAATTTAGAGAGTCAGGTCCCACTGGGGTCTCTATAGAAATGGCCATAGTAATATTGCAGCAGTTTCCAGGCACACATAAAGCATTATGGCTGTCATCTGTCAAGTCTCTTACTCCCTCCTGAGGAGGCCTGTGCGTGCAGGGGACGTTTATTGGTGACAAGGTGGGATTTTTTTGTTTTGTCTTGTTTCAAATATGTGATGAATTAAAAAGGTAAGATAGATGAGTCTCTAGAGTATTCTCTTCAGGGAGGCTGAGAAACACGGTTCCGGTTAGGGGTTTGCAGGGCGCATTCAATCTTTGAGCTGACTTAGAGGTTGTTTTTGTAGGAGCATGGTACCGAGACTGCAGTTCCTCAGTGGCTTCACTGCTGTGTAAGAGAAGGGGACGAGCCTGTGCTCCCATCATCTGTGGGCACATACTCTTATTCCCTCCCTATGCTGATGCTAGTGCTGGGTGGTAAGCCAGAGCTGGAAACCAACCTTTTTTTATATTTTTTTAAAATTCTTTTTGGCGAGTTTAATTTTCAATCAAATCAGCCTTACCTGAGTCATCAGGTGGCCACACAAGCGCTGCTGCTGTTGGAAGGGAAGCAGCAGGAAAGGTGTAGCAGGAGGCAGGGAGAGGAATGGGTGGAATTGCCCCTGCTTATCTGGGTTTGAAGCGATGCTTCAAACTGCCCCCCTCCTGGTGACATTCACATTGCGTTTGTTGCTCCTGAAATTTTCTCCATCCTGAGATACAACTAAGTCAAATCTAAAGATTAGGTGCCCCTCACGTTTTGGGATGTGACTCAGACCTATAGTTGTGGAGGGGGGAGAGCCATGGCAGTGCTGCAAAAGATAAACATCCCCTGGATCATTAATCACGGGATGGAGAGCACAGTGGCTGATTGCTTATTGGCTCTGGTCTTTCATTAAGAGTAAACTCAATTTTCCCAGTATTGACAGCTGCCTGATGGAGGGGCCATGCTATGTGGCAGGCACTGAACTGCCAAAAGCAAACACCCAGATATAGCCATATGTCAAGAACGATACCAGCAGTGTATTTCCTTCTTTTCTTCTGTGCTCTCTCTCCTTGTGGAGAAGAAAGAACTTCTAGGGATAAGACGTTAAATATGCTAATCCTGGCCTGTCTGCTAGCTAGGAAATGCTGGGACATTAATGTACTTTAAGTACATTAAGCTGGGAAACTGGTTCTTATTTGTCCTTGCACATTCCTGTCCTGGGTTGGGACTGATATAATTATAGAAATGTAGTACCGTTGCCAAAAAGTCCCCCAACCCAAGCAAAACCTTTGTTTTCTTCCTGCCCAGTCCTTCTGATCCTTCCCAAAGCACAAACATTTATTGTGCTGTGAGGAACAACTTTGGAAAGAAGCAAGCAGAGCATGTTTTGCCAGGGAGCATCAGTTTCTGCTGGCCCCAGCACTGCTCTTCCCCCTGCCCTGTCCAACTAAGGGCCCTCTCCATCAGCACAGCTTGCTCGAGCATCTTCCCTCCTCGTTCTGAGAGCTACTCCATCCCCTTCCAAATGTGTAATTATAGACATGAAAAAATAAACTTGTTCTTATTCAGCACCTGATAAAATGGTGACTCAGGCATTTTCATTTTGCATTGGAAATGCAAGTTCTCACACATTCAGAGTGCTCACCAGCATGCCATCTGAATCTTAAAAGGAGCTGTGTCTGCCCACTGGAAAGGCAAAATGGTTACAAATGCAAGAGGCCACATGGGGGCTTTCATTAAGTAACTTCATTTGGCCACGTGATGAAGCAAACCAAGGTCACTTACCTGTCTCTGCACTTAACCCTTGCAATGTACTTATCTCAGCAAGACCCTGACCTGCACCTAGCAGTGGGCTGTGGAGATTTTATCTTCATGTATTTATCCATTCCTGATAGTCAGGATAAATATCCTGCCCTTGATGTCAGACACCCTGCAGCGGGTTTTGCCAGGCAGACCCCTGCTAAGGGGATCTATATTCTGCCAGCTGTGCAAGAGAGCAAAGCAAGTCGGTGTGTGCAGGGAAACAACAAAAGTTGGTACTTGCAGCCGCTTGCGGTACCCCCTAGATAGCACTTGTGCTATACTATTGCCTTGGCAGGAGGGAGCACAGCCCAAGGCATGGGAGGTCTGAAGAGCATCTGCACTCCTGAGTGATCTTCTGGGCAGTGGGACTCCTAACACTGCAATGTCATGCTTCAAAGAAAGATGCCACATAAAGCAGAGAGCAGGAAGGAGAAGTCTTGGAGAAGGCAATTCCTGGCTTGTCCCTGTGGCAATTCCTGGCTTGTCCCTGCAGATAGCTTCATCCAGGCTTCTGGAGGATTTACTTAAGCCAAACCTGCACACAACCTGTGGGGCTTTGTATAGGACTGCCCACGTGCAGCTGAGTGACCTCTGGATGCATTGGCAATCAGGTTAAATGCACAGGAACAAATGAGAGGATTGAACCAGGCCAACCTGGCAACTAGGAGCTCTCTGGCCACTGGGGCTGCAGGTTCAGCCCGGTGTTTGACACAAACAGCGGAGCAAAGACACCTGATCAGGTTTAGGATGGTCCTTGTGAACAAGGTGATGACACTCTGTCTAAAATAAAGATGTTTCTGTGCTGTGTCAGGAGTTTGCTGGTATACAGGCTGGAAGCAAGGTACTTGCTGAAAGGCATAAATCTTTCTAACCAGCTTCAGTTGAGGTATTTTTAAGCTCAGGGCAGGCAGTGCTATGAATCCCATCCCATTAGGGCTGGAAGAGAGTCAGCCAGCAAGATGCGAGCAAGATGGGCTCTCTGGAGCATGAGTGCCCTCTTCCTCCTGCCCACATGCCCTCTGCCATGCAAAGAAAGTCCCTGGGTTGTGACAAGACTGAAAGGATAACAGGGGCAGCAACTGCAGCAGCCGTGCCTTACCTCTGCCAGGCTTTGTCAGGGAGGGCTTGAAAGTCCTCCCGGTAAGCTGGGTAGGTACAGTATGTTGTCTGATTTTGTTTTAGAATTAATTTATTAAATGGTATTTTATTGTATGCCTCTAGAGCAGCCAGAGTTGTAGGATAAATATTTATATAGAACAGGTACTGGGTTAAAAAAAGATGCAACAGATGTAGAATACATGTTTTTGCCCTTGCTTCTACCTGAAGGTCCCTGAGGTCTTGACTCGATGATCCTTATGGGTCCCTTCCAACTCAAAATATTCTGTGATTCTGTGACTTTGCTGGA